ATGTCTTTCTCATGCTGAGGGCTCCAGAGCTGGAGGCAGTACTCCAGGTGGGGTCTCACCAGAGCAGAGCAGAGGGGCAGAATCCCCTCCCTCGACCTGCTGGCCACGCTGCTTTTGATTCAGCCCAGGGAAGGAGCCCTGCCCAGCTCAGCCACAGCCCCAGATAGACCATGTTGAGTGTCCCAACATCCCCCAGCACCACAGCTCCCGCTGCTGCGTGTCCTGCCTGGCATTTTGCCACGAGCCAAGTGACTCTCCTGTCCTGGGAAGCCCTGCAAGCCCATTCAGGGTTTGGTGGGTGCAGGGGGATGCTCTTGCCAGGCTGCAGCATGCAGCACCTCAGGGCTCACCTGCCTGTGGAAGCGGGTGCCATCACCACAGCTCCCGCTGCTGCGTGTCCTGCCTGGCATTTTGCCACGAGCCAAGTGACTCTCCTGTCCTGGGAAGCCCTGCAAGCCCATTCAGGGTTTGGTGGGTGCAGGGGGATGCTCTTGCCAGGCTGCAGCATGCAGCACCTCAGGGCTCACCTGCCTGTGGAAGCGGGTGCCATCCTCCTCGGGGACGCTCTCGAAGTCAGTCACAAACACCCTGCCCTCGATCTCCCGATGGGTACTCTGCACGCTGGTGTCCAGCAGGTAAATCTCCACCAGGTCACCTTTATCTACCAGGGACGCAGCCAGGGGGAAAGGCAACCACCGCCACAGTCAGCCCAGGCCACCTGGGATGCTCCCAAAATGCAGCTCCAGACCCGCAGCACCATGGGGCAGGGGGATATCCCCATCCCCTCGAGATCAGGAGAGGGGACTGGGTCACTGACCCTTCCCCATACTCCCACGGTCCTCCCCCCACCCCCCAGCGCTTACTGGGAGGGCTATAGGCGCCCGAGCTGGGCTGCGGTGGCACGATCCTGCCCAGGTTCCAGGGGATGCTCTGGGCAAAGACGTAAGCGTCCTCCTCGACGTAGTCCACATGCGGCAGCTTCAGCGCCTGCGGAGAGGAGGCACAAGCGCCCACCGTGGTGGCAAAGCTCCTGTTCCCCCCCGAGGCTGGGGCTGCCACTCCCCAACAGCGCCCGC